TGCATTATCCAAAGATAATGGTTCTGTCTGCAAAGAACAACCCATACCAGATAAGCAATGGCTTAATAGAAACAAAACACACTGATAGTCCTGGTACTTTAAGTGATAGCACATAAAACAAAAGCAAGTTCATTAAACATATGCAATTTGCCTATCACTGAAACCAYTTCCCTTCCCAAAATCTTTATTCCTCTTACTCAGGGAGAAAAMGGATATACTTGCTGGCTGATGTTATCTTTGATAAATTCCCCACAGCCCACACAAAAAAATGAAGTGAATCAGCAAATTGAGCTGCTAGAAGATCAGATGTTAGCTAAAGGTGGGATTCAGATGATATGTACAGTCCCCAGCAGAGTTTTGTGAAAGGTGGATTTCTATCATTTATGCTATGTCCTTCTTGGAGAGCATTCAGCCTTCTAAACCTTGATGTCAAACTGAAATGTGGAGATCCTAYAGGTGGCAACTACTGAAAGTTCCCAAGGAGTAATAGGGAGGAATCTGTAACGTAATTACTAGACAAATATAGTATGATTTCTGAACTCACCTTTGCTGAGCCATTTTTTATCTTTTGCAGKCAGAGAAGTGACACTTCTTCAACATTCAGGACATCTGATTGAAGAATTGGACTAGGAGATCCAATTCACATGTGACCCACATGCACMATGTTGAGGCATCACAGGAAAATGCTCTTGGCTGGCTCACACCCGTTCAGATCAGGACTTTCAATGCTTGGCCTGCTGGCCAAGGAAAAAAATTCTCTCCTTCCCACTCCCTCCTTTTTCAGTAAGTAAAGCGTCCTTAAGCATTCTGATAAAGCTCCTGTAACTCTTTGAAAAGTCAGCATTGAACAGGGGGACATTTCTTCCCATTGAGGATGTACTCACTSCATGGGGAGAGAACCTTTGTCATCTGACTACTTGCATTAGCAGGCTGGAGAAGGCATTCTCATACATCCAAGTCATACAAAAMTCCAACAATCAGGTACTAACAGCTATTTTACCTTTCTTTACCTAGCATTATGTCTGATCCACATGCTTCAGGCAAAAATAYCTGCACCACAGTTGGTCTCCTCAGGGGCTTGTGCTCCCTTTATGCATTGTCTCAGACAGCAGATAGAAAATGTTTCTAGTTATACCCTACATTGGAGGTATTTCTGTTTTCTGTTAATATCTTGAAAGCTGAAAGATTCACTCCCTTCTGGAGAAAAAGAAAATGACAGTTAATACTGTCTATTATTGCACATTAAAATAGGAAGAAAGCATAAGATAGAGCTGGAACTCAGTAAGATCATGAAGAAAAACAATCCTTTGGTTTTATATATTTAAAGCAACAGTGAATATATTTCTATGGTCAACCTACTAATTCCATTATAGACTCGCCAAGCTTTCAGAGCAGTCCATACAGCTGACTTGGTGCATATAGRGAGGTCCTGAGAATTAATAYACCAGTAAATATATAGGTGACCAAATCTGAGAATTAATACACCAGTAAATATRTATGTGATCAAATATGAGTACTTTTTAGTACTGTGGAATAATTATTATTTGGTAACAGCAAAAAGTACTGTGAGTATTTCAGATAGCTGGCAAAAAAGGTGCTTTTGATGGTCACCTGTTGAGACTTGTAGTGAAGAGGCATTGGAAGGAACAGAATTAATTTCACTATGTCTTAGTCATGCTGTCTTCACAAAGTTTATTGGGAAGAAGCAGATTAATTTCTATCCAGCTTAAGTCACTAAAGTACAGTATGTGCAGAGTCAGATGAGTAAAGAACCTATTTTAAGGCACTCATCTCACACATGCACTCAAGTTAGGTCTGGTCTGTAAAAACTAGAATGGAGAGGTTTTCTAGTTCCTGTCCAGTTATTTTCATAAATGCAAGTACTATTCTAAAACAGTAAAAGGGGGAAGATAGAGAGACACTAATCTTTTCACTTAACAAAACTTGTGCATAGAAAAATATGATCAAACCTTTATGCTAAGCTTTATTCAAATGTTTTTCAAGTAATTTTCTTGTAAAGAGTATCACTGCCTCTATGCCAAATTTTTATGCAGAGTTCAATGTGGTTTTTGATCCTTTGGGAAAGGTAAGAGAGGCTAAAAATCACAGCCTTCCCTTTTTTAATATATCTATTTTAGTTCTTCATATCAGATTATGACAGTGTAACAAAAGAAAACTTCACCTATTCTGGTTTCTTTTATTTTCTTTAATACGTGGTATTCTATTCCTCTAAAATTTTCAGGCTCAGTAACCACAAGGAAAGTCCAAACTGGTGCAGAACTACTTCTACAGCTGCCTTCAAAACAGTGCACAGAAATGCTATGCACATAAACTCTACTTGCCAGAAAAGCAAGCCACCTTTTGAAGGAGTCAATGCTGCCTTCCTTCACTAGCACCTTTAAGTGGTGAGGACTTACTCAAAGAACTGCTTTTTCTATGTGGTAGTTCATTTCAAAGCATTTAGAAACACAGGCCTGGGTGGGCCTCCAGTCCCCTGCTAGTCCCCTGCTAGGGATTATTTTGGGTTTTAAAAAAAATTTTCCTAAGTCACATCTCAAGAGACATGAGAAAACTCAAGAGGTTTCCTACACCTRACATTCTTAAGAGCTGCACCCTCCATTATCAAGAGAACAATGAAGATGGAAGGAAGCAAAGCTGAAAGTKGAGTGGAAATGAGTTTTCCACTGTYACAAACCAASAGCTTAAATTAACTGTTTATTTCACACTGATGGTGGCGAGGTTGAACAAATCCAAACCCACCCTATTGCTCACAGGCACATCAACAACATCTACCAATGTATTTGCCAGCTTAGCAACATGCAAGTCAAAAACTCTTCCTTCCAGAACATCCCCAACCCCACTGAGATCCCAAGGGAATTCCTCCCTTGCTTTTTATTTTGTGCAAATGCAGAATATAAAAATGGCTCCTGTCTGTAGAATTCACAACTGAGATAACTGGTTTTCTGTCCTCATTTTTGAATTCCAAAGACCCTGCTCCAACATCAAACAGACAATTCTGTCAAAACCCAAATGCCAGGAAAGTCAGCAAGACGAAAATCCATCCTGGCAACTAAGGCACCACAGTACAGCAGAACAGGTCTCTTCCCATTAGCGGTGTTTTGATGGTATGTGTAATACTTCTGTGCCACATTCTCAGGACACAGATGAAGCTTTGCTTTCAGAACTCTCCAAATATGTTGACACAATACTGTTGACCTGACATTTATTTCAACCCAATTAGCACCACACGAATCATGAGTCTTCAACTATGTACTGTGGCATATTTACAACTGTCCACGAGGACAAATTTGGTTTCTGAGTACGAAAAGGGATGAGACTAAACTTGAGAACTGCCTAAGAGTTAGCAGACCCCACTGCCCAGTGACAAAAGAACCAACTTTGTGTGCAGAGGAGATACAGCCTAGACACCTTCAGATTCACAGTCTATTGTCACCAGAAGAGTCCTGCTCTTCCTCTATGACTCCCAAACTCAGTATTTCGTCATTTTCTGTGGAGTACACACCGTTCCATGCTGTGACCCCAGCTCCCTCACGTATTACTTACACTTCTTGGTATAACACCTTTGGATGCTCTCCACCTCCCAAAGTAGACACTGCAAAAAAAAAATTTTTTTTTACTCCACTCCCCTCTTCTAATTAAGGAAGAGAAGAAAGAAGAGGACCTGCAGACTAGGCTGAAGTGACACAATAATTGAGCTGTTGGCTGGAACTCTCAGCTGCTGGGCCAGACCAAGAGRGGAGAAACTCTCCTGAGGCTGAACTCATCATTCCTTTTCCTTTCACATCCTCCCACATCAACTTTCACAAAAAAACTTTTAAAACATAACGCAGAAATCACTGCCCCTTCCATCAAAGCTGATTCTGCCCAAGGAGCAGCAGATTAACAAAAACACACAGACAGCAATCATAAGATTTGAYCTCTTGGCAAACAAAGCTAACTGAGGTTACTGCCCCATATCATTAGCATTTAAAGAGCTTCCCACAGAGGCATTATTTCCAGTGGAAAAGAGAAAAAAACCCAGTAATATAGAACAAAATCACAGTCTTTTTTTTTGGAAGACATTTTGATTATTTTTCTCTGGCTATAAAGTACATGACAAGGGATGTTCTGCTGCTTACAAGAAAACAAATGCACATGGTGACTCTTCTATAGTTGTTTTTGAAGGGGACAGCTAACTGCTCTAGAGCTTCTAAAGACTGGTCASTGTTGCAACTGAAATCGAGAATTCTCAAAGTAAACAGTGAGTCAGCCCTACTAAACAAACAATAGGTCAGACTTGTAACTGAAAACGAGAGCTTGAACTAAATGCAAGATCTCCCTCAGTCATTGAGTAAGAACATGAAATCTGGCTGTTTTCCAAGGAACAAATGCAAAATCAGGCTGCTGATGTGACAGACCCTCACTAAGACAGATCAGAAGCTTCTAAAGACTGATACTCAGAAGGCTGGACAGAATGATAGATGCTTTTCTTGCATTCTAAGAATTCACTTTTCTTTGTTTTGAGTCATAAATTTTTATTGCTCTTTTAAGTATTACAATTCAGTACTGCTGCTCTTTTCAACAATACAATTACTACACTGAGCCTACCTGTACATCCTGTGCTGTGCAGGTAGCAAAAAGATCTGTGTAAAAATTCTCCATGAACTAAACGTCTGTTCCTTGACAGAGCAATACACTCTAGAAATATGGTCAACTAAATCAAAAGAAACACAGTAATTCTATATTCTGGTCACCAGGTTCTATATTCTGTGTGGTCTTGACCCAGATTCCCTCCTCATCTCTGCAATATAGTAAAAGCTACTTTCCTAGGGCGTTGTGAAGTTTAGAGTTTGTAAAGAATAGAATAAGTAATTACACCCTGCAGATGTAGAGGGATTTTGATATTCAATGTTTGCACTGTAGGCCTAGAAAATAGGTTTTCCATAGGTACTGCATAGGTAGTCACCTCATTTTGGCAAACATAGCTCTGAAGACAACCCAACTGTTCAAATACTTTTATTAAACAAAAAAAACCCCAAAAAAGAAAACAAAGCAAGAAAGTGTTAAAAAACACCCCATCCAGTATACTCCATAAATTTGCCTTAAAAGACATTGAAAACACTTATCAAGTAATTCTTATTTACAGCTGAGAAAAATATCTTCTGGTAACACAAAACTATAAAGATCTTCAAAGATCACATGCTCCCTGCCATCTGCACTTGAGAAATGCTTTCAACTCAGTCAGGATAGGATGCAAGAGAGAAGAGATTAGGTTGCTGTTAGGGAAGTAGGGGCARAAAGCAATTGCTGTTTCCCACAGTGGAGCTGTTGGCCAGTATAAAGTGCAAATATTCCATAACATTTTGCAACTACAGGTGATTTTTTCTTTTTTTTTTTGTGATCTTAATACCATTTTGCACAGTATGTKTATACATTTATAATAACGAAAGAACAGCGTTTAAAGGAATTAATCTGGTTGTAACAGACAGGCATGTATGAAGGTGTCAGTACTGTCTCTCCAGCCCTGCAGTCAGATTTGAATGTCTTTTTCTAAGCAGTATTTCACTGCTCTGGATTGCTCTGTGTAGACATTACTCCATGCTGGTTACCAGTATTAACTATTATCACTTATCTATCACAGCTGTCAGTGTACAGCTTTCAGGGATTCCTCTGCTCTGGGTCAGCACCTCTCAGCAGTGTATGAAATGGAGATAGAAGTGATTCATTCTTCCTTTTAGCACTAGGAATGTCTAYGGTAACTGTACTAGTTAAAAGCCTAAAAAAAAAATCAAAAATCTCAGCACATGAAACAGGAAAATGTGTAACAGAAGGGTACAGAGACCCTGAGGTACTGCTGAGCTGACAGGATAGAGAACCTACAGCACAGAAATGACCATTATTACTGATCTGGGGACAGTGTGGCAAAATCAGCACACTTGGCTCTGCTGCATGCTTTAGATTCTGTTGAGTATTTCACACTATTAACTTGTGAGTCCCTGGCCTAGAATTTTTTCCCACAAGCCTCTGTGGCAATTTTTGTGGTGTGTTGTTGGGTTTGGAGTTTTTTGCTCTATTTTGTTTTTTATTTGAATTGGCTGGCTGTTTTTTTAAAAGCATGATAATAGAGACATTTTCCTTTCTGTAACAATAAAGCTACAGGGTTACCTCCTCTAAAGATTCAGTATTACCTGGTAACCGCACTGTGACATTTCTGTCTTTGTTCCCAGTCAATRTAACAAGAATTTCAGGCACCAGAGCAGATTCTCATTAAATTTACTAATGTTTAGCTGAAAGCAATACAAAGGACAAGCTAAATCCAGTGTTCTAAAGAAAAAAAAATGCCTTAAAGATACCGTTACTTCCCAAATATTTCAGACCATTTCAATCTTCTATTCTATTTTTGGAAAGTCAGATGACATCTATACCAGCTGAAAATGTTTCTGGGATTTCTGTTSTCACTTGAGAAAATAAAGATGGATGTACTGTCTTCTCATCAGCATCTTTTTGTGCCCCATGAAGATCTCCCATGAAGATCTCTTCCAAAACTTTGCTTGTATAGTCACCATATATCACCAGTCACATCATGTCCAGCTGCAAACAGAACAAATCCATTTCAAAAAAGGAGAATTAAAGTTATTACTTAAATGTGTTTAGTGCTGAAAAAAAAATTAATTTGGAAATCCTTATCGTGTAACATAAATGGATTGCACAGAATATATTACTAATCTGCTACAAAGTACAAAAACAAACGTAAAAATTTCATCTTCACATAATCATATGTCTAATTTATAGACTTTAAAAAGTACAGTCCAAAAGTAGAAATATGTTATGAARCTTCTTTAAACCATCTACACCATCACCTTAAGCCTTGGAGACATTTTTRTAATGAGTCAGCCTGTAAAAGATGGGTAAAATATTTATTAAAAACCCAATATCCTTGAATTTCAGCAAACCCATAGAGAAAAGTTTAATTCAAAATATTAAAAAACCTTTTTTTTTAATGTTTTTCAGTTTTCAACCCACATAACTAGCTGTTTAAGATCTACAAACTTTGTAATRTGCTATTATAGTAAATTATACCAATCCACTATAAATGAGTAGTCTCACTRGCTCTTTTGAAACACACTAGAGGACACATTTCACCTATATAAACACCTACATTACTACATAACATAGTATTTGCCATCATGAAATAACACACCTGGCTACATTTTACAATAGTAAGTGATTTCACATGGCTCTTTTGATTCAATTCCTTAGGTGCTTTCTAAGCAATGCACTCAACTGCTTTAAGAGTCACTTGGCTCTCTTACTGCACCTTTCACTTACAGCTTAATTGTAAAGCCACACCATATCTTTATGGTACTCACCAGATCATCAACATCACCACCTTCATCTGTAGGAGGCAGAGTTTCATTTTTCGGTTCTTTTGGAGCCAAGAACTAAAAAAAGAAATGTATTTATGTGATACTGACAAAACTGAGAGACTTTAATGTTAAATTAACAGAATGTCTCCTCCGTGTATCAAAACAAACCCATCCATAATTAAAAATCATGAAGAAAGTTTTTTTCTGGTTTCCACCCTCCAAAACCATTGTAAACTATAAAAATTTCATGAGACTTGCTTTTACAGGATTTTATGGTGAAGTGTGTCACAAACCAGACAAAAGGATATGGTTCTTCAGACAACACATGGTTAGGCCGTAGTATACCCTGTGATAAGGACCCTGCAAATATTATTCCCTAGTCTCAGGGGGAGATAAGGAAGGTGCATAGCAGAGAAATCATGTGAAGTCCACTAAGTCAACAGAAACAACCTCAAGCACAAAAGGTTTTTGATATATCAAYGGCTGAGCCTGAGACTGTACATTTTTCTCTACCCATCCCTTTCTGTCCACTGTCAGATAAAGGATTCTGGRTTAGATGGAAATTTTATCCATTACAGTTTGACCATGTTTATGTTCTTAAAAAATATTGTGTRTAGCTACAAAATGCTCAAGGATAACAAACTGCCCCCCACTGATATGAATACATACATRAACTGACCAATGGCTTCTTCAAGACATTTCCTACACACAACATTCTAGTTCTGTGTTGAGCTTATAAGCTTCCCCATTTAATTCAATTAACATTTACCAAATGAACAAAGACATGAATTTTCAAAAAAAAAACCAAACCTCTAACATGTAAGATGGTTAGAATGCCAGTCTTAATAATAGAAAATTCATTATGTAAAATTACATTGTTATGGCTGCTGATACAATTCACCATATGCCCTTCACTTAAAGCATGACATTCATAAACAGAAGAGAAAGGTAAGTTGCTCAGATAGGATAACAACTGAAATCAAACACACAGACAACATCCAGAGTACAACCTCCTTGAAATTATTTCACAGATTTTTCTCTTAGTCTAAAAAAATTAACTAGAATGGTAGGGAAAATAAGCAATACTTGACTCTTACTTTAAAAAGCATGCAGTTGCCTCAAACTCTTAGTTATTACCTTTTTACCAATATCCTTAACAGAGAATCATATTCTTCTTTCTTATTAAAATACACCAAAACAAGTACACAGAGCCAGAAACAACCCTGACCCCCCAAAAAACACAGATATGAAGCTAAGGAGGAAAAGACATATTCCAAGACTTTAAGTATTGTCATCCTTAAGTCAGAAACAACTTCACCATAACTCCAGATGATAAAAGAGAACAGCTAAGTAGAGAATAGCCACATTACACAGGCTGTAAATACCTGCTTAGACAACTTTTGTGCTCCTGAAAGGGAGCTGCTGCTCAGCTGGGGACTTCAASTGTGTCAGCCAGAGAGGTTGTATAAGAGGCCATGGGATCCCTATCAACACCAGCAATCTCTGAGACAATACACTTGTAGTGTGAAAAACTTAAACATTCTTTTAAATAATAAAACATTCTGATCTTTCTCTAGAACCCTAGTGACAGCTTTAGACATGGGATAAAACTCTGTGATGTTTTCCTGTTGTATCCTCAGGGATGAAAAGCAAACACATTGTGTTTAGGTAACACAGAAGATAGAGGATATAGACAACCTCTGCTCTGTTGTCTCAGCACCCCAAGGTCAAACCCTTCCTACATCCTAAACAGCAACATCCAAGAGGAATGCAGAAATCTCATTCCACAGACTACACTCATGTTTTAACATGCTGAGTTTAACTTATCATAGAGATTTTGTAGCTAGGGGAAAAAAAAAAGGCAGGAAATGTGACAGGGCCAGAAGRAATTAGAATTTCAAGATGCCGTATGTCTGCATATCTTTTTTGTTGGAAGAGTTCTTAATCTAGTAGTAACATAAAGCACATACTATGAAACTAAAAGCTAATGACATTTGTCAGCTCTGAACGACTTTCTGTGCCAGATCAAATTTCATTTTTTCACATTTAATTAAGAATCAAATGGTATTTCTGAAAGTAGCACTTGTTCAAAATTTTTACAATCAGCTTTCTCATGCTAAATTACGCAAAGGAAGCGAAAAGCTAGRGAAATGTACAATGAGGATGTGCAGTAAATTGAAATCTGAAGTTTCCATCAAATGCTGAACATTGAAAGTTTTTTTTTTTTCTGAAAACTTGTTTTACATTTATGCAAAAGCAAATTACATATAATAGCTGTGCTGAAATCCATTATCTTCCCCAAAGCAACCAGAAAAAGCACTTGACATTCCTGCTCTTTTAACCTACCATCCTCATGCTCTAAAAAAAGTATCTTTACTATTATGGGAAAAAACCCAAYATTTTTATCAGTGATAGGAAAATATACATGGACAACTTACCTCAAGCAAAAACAAAAAGGAAATTTTTACATGTTATCTGTCTAATAAGAAGCCTGGTAAGTCTTCCTTTCTCCTGCAGACATCAACCCTATAAAACCTGAAATCTAACAGACAAAACAGCTCCTGGAACTACTGTCAGCTAGCAAACAGCACATAAGAGGTTTTTGTGTCACATAGGACCACACTGATAGACAACCCTGTGACCTACAGGTTTGCACATAACCTATTACAGAGGTGAAGAAAACTTMCATCTTAGTCTGCTGGGGAATATTTGAAAAAATCCAATATAACCCCTTAGTGAAGAGTATTGACTTCAGTACAGAAAACAAATGAACCATTTCTGCAATACRCTGTAGACCTAGGGAAATACTGGCTTTGTATCACACAGGAAACCTTGGCAGGGTTTAATTGCACCAAAGAGGACTAGATTTTATACCAACCACACAACATCAAGACAAAATATTCTACCCCTGCAGATCTTATTCCAAGCATATACAGTTTCTTCCAGTTTCTTAATGAAAAGRTCATATGAGCCCTTAACAGACCATRGCAAATTAGGGTTCTGGGTTTGGATTTCGACAGTGGGTGGGGAGATGGTTATCTAGTGAATAAATGGAATTGCCAACTGTTTAGTTAGCAAAGAGATACAACCCAATTACTCGGGAAGTTAAGGTAACTGCCATGTTAGAGAACTCTGCTGCAGAACTGATTTCACACAATCTCTCTAATTCCCCCAATTTAATGGGAAGACGTAACTATTTGTATGACTTTCAATCAATCACAAAATAGTCTCCTGTGTTGCAATATGTGGCTGATTGTAGGATGATGGTAAACAGAAATGTAAATTTGCAGTCAGTCTACAAATGCTTTGCTCCAGCTTCTCCTGGCAGCTGTGAATCCAGTCCTTGGTACTCTATAATTTCTGCTGCATTCCTATGCAGGCACAGTGGATTTTAGCCTCCAGAAGCTTACAGTGAAGACAACAGAATGCTCAAAAGTCTTTGTGGTTAGTAGAGATTTCCTCAAGGAACAGTGGCTATTTCAATTTTTTTGGGTATCGTGATAGTTTCAGACTAGAAAGTAAAATTCTCAAGAACAATATTGTGTTAGGAAGTTTCCAAGTAAATTCAAAGTGCTTGAAGTAGATAAAGACTGATACTCTTTAAAACCAYCACTGGGGGAAAAGTTGCCCTACATATATATGTGTAATGAGAAAYAGCCAGAAGGTTCATCATGTCTGGAAAAATCACCATACTCTTGTCAGTTATATCCTGCACATGTGCTCAGCTTTCTGGACTCCTAGCTTGTTAGCTTTTCATTTTCAGGACATTTCTGTGCCTTCTTCACCTTGAGGTAAATTGTTACAGATGAAAAATGCAGTTTCTAAAATACAACATTTTTCTGCTCATTAACTAACTCACAGAGAGCCTACTTCTACCCACTTCTGCCTATTGCTAATGGAAGGCCTGGAAGTTGCAAAAATCAATGTGGCATCTTTTATAAAAGCTATTTCTCTGCAAAATAGTGATTTCAGTCATGGGTTTATCTTCAGAGGTCTGTGACACAAGGACCTTTCTCTCAACTAGCAGCCTGATACAAAAACACCCATCTTACCCTCTCCACACAAACAATTTTTGAGAGCAGCTCTGGATCCTCAGAGAAGAACTCTGCTTCTCACAGAAGGCACCATTCTGCCAGTTAGAATTCAGTCCTTTTTAACTGRGACRTGCTTCATTCATCATTGTAGTTACYGAAGTGCTACATATCTKTAGAAATTATATCTGAAAACASTCCAAAACTTCTATTTCCAAAAGAATCTGCGATGGTTACCAATAATACCACCAGCACCACATATGATGTCCACCATCCCACAAGAGCTACATAAAGTGGAAAATATTGGTATCAGTGCATGTAATGTGAAAACTAGCCAGAACAACTTGAATTGCTAGAGTTCACAAAACCTTTTAAAAAAACTATCAGATTTTTGAATTCATTTCTTTGTATGAAGTTAAAATAGTGATCTTACATACGTAAATAGTATTCTGCTGTTCCACTACACTGAGTTGCTGAAGTTCCTATTCTTCGTAGAGGATATTTTCAGATAATTTCAATACATGCTACTTATTAAAGTAAAACATTGTAGTACATGCATGTGGTATTATCTTTGCTCTGACATGCAGAYACTTCAATCATGTGGCAAAAGAACATTCTTATTCCTTCATATGGATCTTATTTCATTCAGCTGAAGATTTATCCATGTAAGAAAGTCTTTTTGCTCCACAGCAAGGGCGCTATACAAAGAGATGCTCATTAAAAAAACGATACCTTTTCAGCCTCTTCACCAGTCACTGAACTTTCCTCTGMTTCATCTTTAGTGATCAAAGAAATTCTGTCTGAAAAAAAAGATATAAAAATATCATTAGAAGGTTTCCCAAAAACTCACCTCATGTTAGAAATGAAAAAAGTGTTGCACATTCCAACTTCTGGATGTGTCATCATCATCAGCAAAAAAAAAAGTATCGCTCAAGGGAAAATGTGACTTGCATAAATGAGTCAACTATGATATAAAATATGATRTAAAAATAAATTAATGAGCATATTCATAAGCTTGTGGAAGTATCCATTTAGGAAACTGCTAATATTATGACAATCAAACTAATGAGACACTGAAATCATAGCTCACAGATGAAACACTGAAAATCTACTAGAAATTACACTTTTAGTCATTCAYATCATGCTCTTAGGTCCTCAGAAAAAATTAACTCCAAGCATTCAGACAKTTGTGCTGTGATTACCAAGTCTGACTACCAAAGTGCTGGTCCTGTCCCACTTTGCTCCTTGGTTGTGCCAACAGCACCAATCCCTTCCCCACCCCCCAAATATTTTTTAAAATCTCCATTTCTTTTGACCCAAACAGTTTTTCCATCTAGCTCATCACTTGGCCACACAAATGCTTGTGCCTGAATAAGCAGCTGTGGGGTAAGAGCAAAGAAGAAATATCAATATTTTTATATAAATATTTATAAAAATTTCAGCAGCAGCATATCACCTTCACAGGCCCATAGAACTACATGGCATGATTTCATGAAACAAAGGAACAAAGATCTGCCTTTCTTCTGAGCCACTAACTCATTAGCTTACATCCACCTTCTTTTGGTGACTGCAGTCACTCATGACAAGGCCCAGTGCACACCACATTTGGTAGCAAAGAAGGGATGGGTCATGTGGCAAGGAGAGAAAACAGGACTTCTGCTCTTGGTAGCAGCAAGCAAAAAGCAATTTCAACTGCCTACTGAGAACAKCCAGATTATGCATAAAGCATCACGATTTCATTTCACCATGTTCTCAAAGGAAGATAATCTATGTTGTATGAAAATATCATCTTTCTTTGTATTTGTTTGGTTGGTTGATTTTTTCCTCAAAAATGTACTCTAGTTTGTCAAAAACTCTGATTTATACTAACTAAAAATTATTCATGGCTTYGAAAGGTCCAAGTTTGCTACTTTCAAAGTTTATTGTTTTCTTTTTCCAAATTTATACARAGAAGGTCCCCTACAGCACAATTGAATATAATAATCTTATCAGTGTTGCTCTGTGCTGTTTTTTTTTGGGTTGCTAAACTAATGCTAAATTCCCATCCTTTATTTCAAAGAAGTTGRACAAAGGATTCATTACAGCATGTCTGGAGTTCATCACTTTGAATGCTACACAAAAGCACATAATTGCATTTTATAGCATGCATCTTTAAAAGATACAGCTGAGAATTTAACAGATTTTCTTAGCATTGGTTCCAATTAAAAAACGAGAGTATGATATAAAAGGTTTTTTTTTTTTAGTCCACTACATTTTGTATTTGTGAAAATGTTCCTTTATTTATCACTTGCGTAGTCTCTGAATGTCTTTCAGAATGGCACTGCCTTGTATCTCCCAGTTTAATCATAGGTAGATGTCATATTAACACACATTCTGTCCTTCAGGTTACTTAAATACAAAATGATCAGTGACACATTTCAATGCTATCTATGACTTTTTGGAAGCTTAAACTGGAAGAATCTTTTTATAGCTTTACTGCATGAGTTTTTTCCATTTATTCTGAAATTCAGCTGAAATTGTGTCTTCTCCTTACCCCGTAACATTTAATTTGTCTCTTCTTCCACAACTAATTTACCATTTCGACGAGACTTGGCAAGGCATTATGAATAATGCTGATATGAAATTACTAGTGCAGAAAAGGAAGCTGCAACGTGAAAGTTGTTGGTTTTTTTTTTCCAGTAGGCTGCAGGAATGAAGCATATCAAAATGCTGCAGTGGTGTTAGCTTAAGTGCCCCATTGCTAATAGAGTTCTCTTACTTAATGGATAAATGCATAATACAACTAGAAATTGTCAATTTTCTTTAAATGGCATCCTACCTTGTATCATGATCTCCCAGAAATCAGCTAAGGCTTTATCTTCCAACTTTGATTTCAGGGCCTGCAGAAAGTCATTAAAGCACTGCACCTTGGACATCTGAAAAAGAAATAACTGTAAGCAAGAAATACTAAAACTACTAAAGAGCATTGCAAACTTAATTCTTCATGAAGTCACTTAACATGGTGAACACGAAGAGAATTTGGGTTTTTATTTCCATTAAAAACATGAGTTCTAAGGAAAGGTGAGCAACAAAAAGTGCCTTTCAGAAAGGCAGAAAGACTTTCYTGTAATTAGCTTTGTCGAAGAAAATTGCAGGATTGCATTTTTTACTTATACAAGCATCAGGTCACAATGCCTCCTGTTTTATGTTTAAAAGAAAAMAAAMCCAGTAAATAATATCAGAGGGGCTAGTCCCCATTCCAGCARGAATAAAAACCCTCATAAAATAAAACTCTATTTCTAAAATTTGAAACATTCTTAAATTTAAAATTAAATTCTTCTTGCTGCAGCAATAAATTTCCAAGTTTCCAATACAGCAAATAGGCCCATCATGCCTTTAATTTGAAAGAGATAAGAGTAATAATAGTCACACAATAACATTACCTTCATGGCTTCCTCTCTAAAAGCTCTGATACAATCGATCCCTTTCATGTAGTACTGTGAACCTTTATTTTCCAGGAACTGATCAATGCGGTTTATCAACTGCTGACTCACTGGAAGACAAGGAGAAACAAATAAATAAATCAGTTAAAGAATGCACACTTTCAAGGAAAAAAAAAAAACAAACCTTTTTCTTTTACATCTCTCTTTTTCTACTCCACAGACATCTAAACAGTTAATCATACCCACATTGCCTCAAGCTACACAAGTTGATAATTGTTAYCTAAGCTAAGTGACAATTATTTCAGCCTCTCTGGAAAAGCCAGATATACTARGAAGAACCTCAAGCATGTCCAAGGCATGCTTTTCCCTGAAAACCAAGGAAACAAGCAGTGGCCAAAATTGTTTGATAAAAATTTGGGATACCAAAGCTTAGGGAGGTTAATGTTCTACAACACAAGCATATCCCCTAAACATCCTTTGCAATAGATGCGTATTTCAATAAAAACATTAAATTTATGAGAAAGGTGCAATAATGTCAAAACAACATGTGTAGGGTAGGGTGATTGCAGTTGAAAGACCTTGCTGTTATTGACATCAGAGTATGACTTGYCTCTTGTACAGGTAGTTTGATAATTTTTCATCAGGGCAAGAATGTTTATGATTATAGATTATAAAATGTGCATGCYTGGCAGAAAGCGGCAGGGGTAAACAGTGAGACCTATACCAACAAGAAGGGGAACACCAGTTTTACCCTTACTGTTAAGCTCCTAAAAGGCAGCTGTAAAACCACTGCAAATAGACAAGAGAAAATGTCACCAATAAGCTCTGCACACCCAGCTAATTTCTGCAGCATTGTAGTCATTTACTTCCTCTTCATGTTAATTACAGATGAGGAACTACCCAGTTTTACTCTCTGGCAGACATCTCAGCCAGGGAAAAGACAAGTGTGGGGAGGAWACAACAGTGATCTATAAACTCAGAAGCATTGAGAAAAGAATGAATAGGGAGTTGATAGTCCCCCGCCTCTCTCAAAACAAGAGCCAAGAGCTGGGTTAAGAACAAACAACAACAAAAAAGCACCTCTTGAAACATAAACCAGTTAACCCCCYTACCACAGGCTGCTTTAAGTTTAACAGTTAAAAAAATGTTTGAACAAACTCTTAGAATTTTTAAAAGAGGATGTCTATCAAGGGAGATTAACAGTGTTGCCATTGAGGAAAAAATAAAACAGGAAAGCTTTCTGAACAAGTCACAGCATCTGCCTGTCCTGTTCTTGTACTGTTAAAGATCAGTTAGTGGATTAGCAGAACTTTCCCCTGACCTACAGCACTTCCCAGGTCTAGATATTATGGGCACAGATGTCACTTCAAGAATCTCACCTATGGAAGCATCAACAAAGAAAATCATCTGCCAGAGCCATGGAAGAAACAAGAAATAAACACACCAAGAAGGAGACATCGTTCAAGTACTGTGTTCCACTCTGCTCACTGTGAGTATGCACAGCACTGGCTGTTATAGTATTTTCTATAAAATGCCTAATTGAACTGAATSTGAAGGACAACATCTCTGAATAGAGTGAAACAAGGCATGTTTGATACTCTCCCACTAGCTTCTGACAGTTTCTAGAAAAGGAGGCAGATAATGGTTGTGCCCAACAGCAGCTACAGCCCAAGAAAGTGTGCTAAAGTGCCTACTGTGCCAGAGGTAATCAGCTTGCTCTGTATTTCACCAGTAGCTGACAAACTAAATTGAAGTCTCACTACTTAAACTTCCCAAGTTAAGTCAGTCAATTCTTTTCATGGTTAATGATTTTCTCATTAAATGTTGTAATTTCTTATGAATTGCACTAATAAAAGCAAGTCCTGCTGGTGTTTTCAGTGGTGGTGGTGTTTTTTTAAACATTGCCTTCTCATTGATGTGTTAAATTAAAACCCCAGGCACTATGAGGGTGCAGTAAAAGTCTTTATTGTCAGAATGATTCCAGCATACTGTTTGAAATTATCAGACACTCTACTACTTCTTTTGCATTTAATTTTTTTTTAAATCCCTTTCCATTTGATTGCCCTGGCATCCATTGGAAGAAAAGACTTCCTTGCTACTGACTGTGAGGTGCCTCCTTTTGAAATCTGTTGTAAGGARCCAAAGGAAACCTGCAATATTTTACCAGGCACTGAGAGTCCATAATACATGCAGCAAACAGGTTACATGGCAACAGTAAAAAAAGTCAGATTCCTCTAACATCCTCAAACAGCCTGGCTGAAAAGTTTGTACTGTCCACTGGGTTTCCCCAGTGGAAAAGTACATCACAGGCCAAGTATTGATGAATCTAAAATAGGCAAAAATTCCTATGTTCTGATCAGACTACCAAATTACTTTAGGGGGCCAAAGGTAATACTAAGGACAGTAGATAAGGACTATTAATGGAAATTCTGGAAATGATTGCTTTTTCCTTTACACTTCTAATCTGAGAACTTTGYTGATTTCCTGTTCCCTTTTCATTAGTCTGAATCTTTGGGTCTGGATGCTGCAAAAAATAGATGTCCCTGTTTTCAGAGCAAGGCATGTTCTRCATAAAGATGTCTTTTTAACTCAGCTGTGATAAGTATTAACTCTGATGTGTCCCAGACAACTCTCAGGCATTGAGGTTTTGAAGAGTACGCCCTTGAATTACAAACTGACAGCCTATTCAGGCCACTTCTGTGCAATAAACTTTTTTTTCTTCTCCCCCAACTTCCCTCATTCCACACACATTYAAGCAAGTGAACTAACAGAATTCCACATTTTGCATTAACTGGWATTTCCAGCACTCCTAATAATTACCACATTCTGCAGAACATCCCAAGAAATTTTAATCTCCTCTTTCCTTCTTCTACTGTACCTGACTGGTTAGATAACAAATATAGTTATTAAGGGTTGGAGAAATGCAGGGGAAAAGACGCATAGAATAGAAGATCTTTTAGTTCTAGCAGAATTTAATCTCTTCCCCTCCGGCATTCAGATACATTTGCTACTCTAAAATACATTCACCAGTGCTGTCATTTTTTGTGAAATATGCCATGAACAATTATATTCACTTGTTATCTCTGAACAGCTTCAGTACAAAAGTGCAGTTATATTTTCATGTTTGTTCAGTTCAGCCTTTAGTCTTGATTACTATACCAATCAGATTATGCAATAATAATAGACAAAACTGTCTATTATTAAAGTCCAAGTTCAGTTCCTTGGGGATTTTTTCCCCCCTTTAAAAAAATAAACGAGGTTAAGAAAATAATTCTTCCTTTCRCCAAATGCTCCTGTTGTCAATCTTCTGATTTACATGCTGGTGGTGGTAATGATYTGTATTCATGGACAGTGCTTAAAGTACAATTCACTGACAAATCAGGTAAACTCCTGATAATTAATTTTAAAATATTGCTCTGTATCATCTTTCTAGAACTGAAAAGAAGAAAGAAATTCTGAACTGAGAATTACTAATTTTTAAGAACCTCATTCATCTTTGAGCCAAGAAATAAGAATTTTATGATCAAGATCCGTTGAACTACTCCAGTATCCTGTGAGGKGCTGCTCAGTTTTGAAATGGTGTCTCTAAATGGCCTGTGGGTATGGATCCGAATTATTTAGGCTGGATGTCTRAAGGATGTATGACCCAAATCCCTGCTAAAGGCAGGGTTCACTGTGGCACAGATGGCTCAATGCTCCATAGACTTCAATGCCATGTAAGTCCAAAGATGGAGAGTCTCCAAGTTCTCTGGGCTCCTCTTTCTGTGTTTAAGTCTCATCATTGTGATCTTTATTAACTTTTCCTCCATAACATCTAATTAAAATTCCGTTTGTTGCAACTCAGAGCTTTRAGTCTCCCCCAATCACTATGCCCTTCAAAGACAAACCTGGCTTCATCTTCCCTGTGAAGCAGATATAGAGAAAACTTCAAAGTGATTCTAYATACTCAAGTATTTGGTTTGCAAATACTCTTGTAATGACTGAATCATTTTCATCAAACCAGTCACTGCRTTTAGTCTACCTAGCAGTAGAGCCTGAATAGTCTCTGAAATATACAAAAACATTCAGTAAAATAAAAATGCAGACAAACTGCAAAAACATGACAACAAAAAAATGAAATTAAGTATTGGCTTTCTTAAAAACTATTTTAGGTCCAGAAAGGTAACTAACTATACTTATTTCTCCAGAAAATTTTGCAATAAAATACCATGTTATTCACATGCACTTACTGACTCCTTTAACTATATTTTTCTAGAAATGCCTAGGAATAAAAATACTAACAAACTTCCTGTAAATATAACAATGAAAGCTTAGTGCAACTTGTCTCTGGACATTTTTTCTTATGTCCATAAACTGTTGAGTTGTCACTGCAGATTTCTCTCCCCGCTGACAATTAGTAAAATAAAAAAAGCTCTTTCAACTACAGGATTTTGGACATCATGTTCTCAGACAGGAGTCCTGTAAGATGCAATGAAATGTGGCCTATAAACTCACACAGAAAATTTGCACATCAAATACTATGCATATGTCAATATCTTTTTCTACCCCCCTGATTCTATCTTCTACAGAAGCCTATGAAAATACAGAACACAGACATGATCAGCTCTCCAGAGATGCAGACATGGATGGCAACCTCCAAATAGAAGGATGAACTGGTAGTCACGTTACCAAAGGCTACTCCTTTGGCATTACAAAGATGGCAAGCACTGACTGCATTTGAGAGTCTTCTCTGAAGCCACAGCTTGMTGAAGAAACTCATTGTACACCCTTGGGAGCAACGATTAGATTCTGCTCAGGTAAACTAATCTATTTTATGTGCAGTCATTGAAAAAACGTCAGAAGCTGTTATCAGAAGACATCTCTTTGTGATGACTGTGCACTTGTGACCGGCTCAAAACAAAACCTGCTTAAAATGACACCTCTCTGGCCATGAATGCAAACAAGAAAGTAAGGATGTCTAGAGGGGAACACAATTCTAGTTACACAAGCATCAACGTTAACCAGCAAGCTGTTACCATCAAACATAACTCACCAGYAACCCTAAAGCAGTTCCCTACTGTAATAAATAACACAGTTGACAGTTAAAACCAAAGTTGATTATTGTTTCACAAATTGAGCTGCCAGTCCAGAAAATCTAAGACCCTTTGCAATTTGAAAACCTTTGATTTTCTAGGAACATATATTTAGCCATTAGTAGTCCAGCTCTCACACAGAATCAAACATGGACTAGCTTATGCTTAAGASTTCTGCTGTGAAAGTTACAAACCCTGATTAACAAATCCCAGTGAGGGCACTGCAGGAAATGTAGAGGTCCCTGTTTTCAATGATAAATACAGCATCAGGACTTCCTACAAGCTGTTTAAGAAGAAAAAGAAAAATAATCCCCTTGACATTCTCTGCTAACTTTATAATTTTGGTGTGGGTGTACCATTAACCTGCAGCTTAATTAAAAAGGAACTGTAGTGTCATTATTTAAAATACAACTCTTCCTACTGCTACAACTTCTCTATCCACTAAAAAAACAGCCCACCTCCACTCAAACAGCTGAAAGGTCTTTCTCTTCCCTACGAAAGGACTGTTGTTATTTTAAAAGGTGAACGTAAGCTCTATTCAGTTTGGAAGACTMTACTACTTTTTTTTTTTTAATACAAGAAAGAAAAACAGAATGCAACTTGGCAGTTCTCCTGTCTGCATCCTGACACATAAAATGCTACCTTTTTTAGAATGAAGTATTTGAATGCCACAGATTATCCTTTTCTGCAAATAAATTTTACATTTCTTATGTTCCGAAAGAAAAAGTTTCATCATTAAATGACATAAAATTATACTAAAAAAAAMCCCTTAGAACCACTGAACAGTTTTAAGGCAGAATTTACTATTTACATAATGAGAGTGCAATACAGYAACTCATTAAAAACATGCCTGCAATGTTTAATGTATTAGCTACCTAAAAGGCTCAAAAGCACAAAAAGGATTATCCAGAAGAAAGAGATAATATGCAAAGCATGTTTTTATTTATAGTGCCTTCTATCTCTCCTTTAAATGGGTGACTGCACTACATTCTGTTTAACTACACCTTATCATTACAGAGCAGATCACATAGAATAAAAGCAAATTGCTCAGAATTTTAGAACCTTCCAAACATGGAACTGCAGTTATCTCCAGCACAGCTACCAAGTGGACATATTTAAGCACTGTTTCTAGTTAAACCATCTTCAAGGGTAATCACCATTCTTATTTCTGCCTTAAAGCTTTCCTACATGGTAAAATTAATCACTGTAACAAAGAAGTCAACTGTTTCACAGTTTCTGTATTCCAATATATTGTACAATGCTTTTTTACTGCATCTTAATATATCTGTGATTAATGAACACAACTCCAAATATTTTTTCAATACATAATTTCTTCTGGATMTAATGAAAAATCTGTGTAAATAGCTAGTTAGCTGGCTTAGAGGTCTGGAAATTCTGGAGAGAAATAGCTATGCAGGCTTTAACAGACCATATCACAACTCAATATACTGCTCAACACACTCCTCAAACTACATCCAAAATGGCCAAAGACCTTGTTGAAATACCCAGCAGCTCACTTAAAACACCTCTGCAAATCTTTCTTTGAAAAGGAATGTGACATTAGTGGCTATTTGGCAGATCAGGTTTACCCTGCCACAACCTTCAAATCRCCCTTTATGAGATTAAAGGCCCCATCCAACTTGTGCATTCTTTTTAAGACACCTTTGGATTACATATAGGTCTGTATAACTACTCCTCTAGGGAAGTACCATACAAACAAATGATAATTCCATTGCATTTTCACACTTAGGCCATGTAAGACAGTGCTTGACTTGTGCTTTGTGTTCTTCCTAATCTCTGAGAAGAGCCAGTGCACACAGCCTCCTCTCATCTTTCAGATGCACAAACTACATGCTTATTCCACTCTGAATTCACCTGTGCCTTCTTTTGCTCACAAGTAGTAAAAAATTATCTTTGCATGTAAACATTTAAGTCGCAGGCATGAGAGTCTCTATTTTGCTCATGGAACACAAGACAGGTTTTTCACACTGTGGTAGCAAACAGCCCTTCACCTCAGGCCACAAAGGTCACAAGAGTGAGAAGCTGAAATTCATTTTGAATGAGGCATTTGTGAATACTAAGGGATCCTCTGTTAGAAACACCTGAGGGCTTGCTCAGGTGCCTCAATGTAGCTGTCTGGTGCCTTCTTACCCAAACACAGTACCTGAGACTTGTAATTGGGGAACGCARGAATTGGCATGGGAATTACAAATGACACCTTCCTTGGCTGAGTGGCACTACAAACTAACCTGTAAATTTCAGAGCAACTCACATGGCACTAGAAATGTATGTTTAGGCAAACGGATTTGCATTTGCACCCTGAAGGTGCTACTAATATCATTAAGATAGACAAAAATCACTTACCATCTTTGAAGTCAGCATTTTTCTTCCGCACCAGAATTCGGAAATCTTCTGCTGGGTTAACACTGCCCACCTACAAAAGGTACAAAACTCAATTCAATTGTCTGTCGATATGCATCTCTTCATTCTTGTGAGGTAACAAGAATCTTTACATTTCTTTTTACTTTAATATGAAGACAGAAGCTCTACACATCTCTGCATTCAGACTCAAAAAATGCAATGTGTGTTAATACACAGTAYTCCTGGCAAAGGCTGGTTATGACATGAGCAAGATGAACTCACTCTGCTGCACTGTTACAAGYTGACCACATTCTCTGGTGCTGAGAGAACAGAAGCAAGAATTCAGGTTACCTGCTAGTTCAGACTTGAGACCTCCTGAAGCACAGACCTCTTAGACCTTCCTAATCTCATCACATGCTTAGGGAGGAGTGGGAGCTCCCAGGCACGTGGGTACAGTGGTTTGCCACTCCAATAGGAACTTCAAAATTAAGAGCTTGCACTTATGTCATCTACTCCTTTCTGGCACAGTCTGATATCTTAAAGCCAAAGCTTTAAATAGGTATACACGTGCAGCAACCTTTCAAAGGAACTAAACCCAGGTCAACTATAAACAAACACTGAAAAATGGATACATTAACTCTACGGCAAAAGCCCCACAACCCTACATTGTTTGAATTTTCCTGGAATCAAAATTCTCTTTTTTTTTTTTAATTTTTATGCTTTGCAGTCGAAATAATTTATGACCTTGCAATACGTTTGCTTAGTCTCATTGTGTTTCTTGTAAATCTGGCAATGCCACTTTTCAGGAAATACCAAAAATTTCTATTAGGTGTGCAGAACATTGAAATCTTTCTAGATGTTAAGACTTTTTATAAATATCTATAACCATGTTTCAAAACAAACCTTAAAGAATAGCATATCTGAAAACAAGTGAAGTCACCTCAACATTATTTTTTTTAATARGAAAACATTAAATAAAGAAAGGTGGAGTTTTGATACAGGTTTCATCTACCCATAAAATTAAGTTAGATCTAGTGGCAAGATGAAGCCAAATTTCTGATTTAGACACCAGTTAATGCATACAACTGTGTCTAAAATCACAGCAATACCTTTAATCAAATACACAGAGGCAACTTCTATGTTGCAGAAGATATGAAAGACAGCAAGAACAAAATTCACTGAAAAAACCACTGAACTCCAATTCTGTTTTCTTTAGATCCTCAGGCTTTCCATTTAGAGATCTAAACACTGGGAGAAAATTTTGTCCTAAAATATCCAAGACTGATAGAAACTTGTGTTAGCATATGCCTAGGGCAGAAAAAGTTGTGTCTACRATCTCTAGCAGAGTCTCAAATGTACAAGTAGACAGTATTTCAGTCATGTTTCAGGAATTCTGTAYAATCACTATAATAGACTCAGAGAATTAATCTTCCCCTTTAATAATAAGATTTGTAAAAATAYGCTTACAGAGGTGATATTGCCTTCAGCAAGTTTCAGGATGCTAAAGCTCCCTTCCTCRTCTTCAATTTTTGGTTTCTTAAGGCTGGGTTCATCTTCGCTGAAAATGAGAAGGACAAAAATGAATATAAACACTTGAAGTAAATTGCCCTGACTGCTAACTAGGGAGTCAGTAAATTAATGAAATATACACTGAACTAAACTTCATTACTGTTCCAAAGTCAACACTTAACCATGCCTCACCTCAATTTCCCCCAGGCTGCACAAACCAGACAACAGAAACAGAGATCAAACTTCATATTAGCACAAAGCAAAGGCATCAYTTGTTGAAGGTAGGAGATTATTCGTGCTTATTTCAGGTGTGGATTTACTCATACAGACCCTCTTCACYTTTCTAAATACAGAATATCTCCACTTCATCTGGAACCTCTATGTTGAATTAACCTTGATAATTTACAGTATGTAACATGACATTTGATATTCTCACCAGATTTTTTCTAAACATGAAATGTCAATGAAAATTTAACATTTAAGTGAGATATTAATTTACTCTTCAATCACTTCCTGCCAGTTCCTGGAATTTATAGCTAATACAAACCTGTTTACACAGTGGCTTTTGAGTCTAATGACCCCTTTTCTCCATCAGCACGTGAGAGCTCCGTAAACCTCCACTTACAGTCACTAAAACCTGCCAGACAAACCCCAATTAAGCAGATCAGAACTGTCTTCAGACATTATAAACTACACCTCAAAATTATTTCAAAATTCTACTTGTTATTTTTAAGAAGGTAATTGTGATTTCGGGCTACTTTCTCACTTTGTCCTTACTGGTAACAAATAGCAAGACCTACATTAAAACTAGGAACTTAATTCTAGCATGTAACATGCTACACTATACAGCACATCCCAGCAAGAGAAGAAAATCCAGATAATCACAAAAGGGGAAGAAAATCAGGTGCGGTCAGGCTACTGACACAKAAGAATTGATTTCAGTTTAAAAATGACTGAAAGTTACTCAGCAACCCAAAGGGCAGGATTTGTGTTCAAGCAATCCCAAAACAGAGTAACAAGYTTTTCTGAAAAATTCTGCTACTGCAGTGAAAAGAAGAAACTACTTGGTGATGTAGGAACAGAGCCAGAGATCCTGGACTAGGAGCCACTTTTCATTTTACAGGATTAGAACTGATTGCAAAAATTGCATTGCACGTTACAGAAGCAATCAACTTGTAGAAAGAACTTGTAGTCTTCTTCCTTTTTGCTTTCTACAGYACACTCCTCCCCAACTTTACAATCACTGTCTATCTCACTTTGTTTCCATAGTCTTCTCCATCCTTTACTTAATTTTGTCACTACTGAAATGAAATCCCTTCTCCTCAGCAACTCCTGTCATTCAGCATAACCTTACTTATCGCTCTAGGAGAAATGATGACTTTAGTTATGCCTAAGGACAAGGATACGATACCTTTGCTTCATTCCCAACTCTGSTGACTTTCTGACTAACCTTGAACAAGTTGCTTGATTGTTTTGAACAGCCAGTGTATTTCTCTGTGAAATGGAAAAACTGGKATTTATCAACACCAGAGAGTAGAACCTCTACTGGAACCAAAAATCTTGTATATTGAYGTGGTTTGATGAAAGGTGTAAAGAACAATGAAGATTCTCTTTTAGAATATTTTCCTCCAAAAGTATATGGAAATCAATTTTCATTTTTTTCTTCCTGMATTATTTTTACTGATTCAAAATGCTTTGGGATTGGAGGAAGGAGAAAATAAATGATGATGCTGCATTTAACAGCCTAGGACCAAATCTACAGTTGTCATTAATCAGTGCAGCACAGCAGAAACTAATGAATCCATAGCCATTTATACCAGCCAAGGATCTGACATTTAGAATATGCACTGATTAGCAGTATTTTTAAACTGCAAAACGTGCAATTACTATTTGAGAAAAATTAATAAAATACAAGATTAATTTAAAACACCCACTTCTACCTTAATATAGAAGCCTCTCTCATCCTACAAAGCTGGCTGAGGTAAAAGCCTCCCCACAGCCAACCTAAGAAGGAAARGGTAAAATGTTTTCTATTTTACTGGAWTTTTTTTTAAACTAAAAAGATCTTAGCAAAAGCWATACAAATAAATACTGGAATCTCTWTTAAAATAGCATGCCTACACAATTATGCTGCTTTAGTCCCATCAGACCTTCAAAATTAACGAGCAGAATCTGCTCAATATAATGACAGGAGACATAAATCGGTTTTAGAAAACAAAAATAATAGTTAAGACATCTTCTAAACAACTTTTTCCAAGTACTTCMGTACAAACTATATCTTAATTTTAATATGCTGAATGTYATAGAACCATAGMATTTAGAATCAYAGAATGGTTTGGGTTGGAAGTGAMCTTAAAGAAMACACCTACTTCCAATGGCCCTGCTGTGGGCAGAGACACCTTCCACTAAACCAGGCTGCTGAAAGCCCCRTMKAGCCTGGCCTTGAACSCTGCCAGGAATGGGGCATCCACAGCTTCCCTGGGCAATCTCTGCCAGTGCCTCTGTTGTTTAATATTTTCCTTAATCATTGTTGCAGATTGAYGTACTTTTCTTTATCTAGGGAACAAATTATATAATTCAGCTTTTCCCCAAACACAGAACAAAACCATACAGTCAAGACTGCTGTCGTAACAATGATAAACTAGTCCATTCATTACCACAGCAATACCATTTTTCTGCAATTTTTAAAAAATCTTACTATCATTCATTCTTTTTGCATAGTTGAATTTGTATACTTTCAGTTCCTTTACAGATTTTTTTTTAAAAATCATTTTTAAAATTCCTTACATCAATTTCTATCTAAATTACTTTTACAGCTGCTTTTATCACCCCTCTAAAGGAAACCAGTTTATAAACAAAATAGATTTTGTTCTTGCTTGTCAAATAGATGCTTTTGGGAAGATACATTTTAAAGCAACTACCAGTAATGGGTCACTGCTTTTTGTTAAAATTATTTTTCTAGCTTGTTTGAGGCCAAATTTTTTGCCTTTTATTTCTAAAGTGGTTCTATCACTTTTTAAAATATACATATAAATGTACGTATGAACACAAACCCAGAGAAACTGGGGCATASAGTAAGGAAAAGAGAATTTAATCAGTATGAATTCACAGACACACCAAGGCAACAGGAACACAGTGAAATCAACAACAGCAACAAAAAAGGCCAGGTGTTTCCCAGGCTGCAGAGAGAAATGTGGTCATTAGTCTTCAGCAGCAAAGCAAAGAGTCCTGTGTCAYGTCTTCCCAAAGACAACATGCTGAGGAGGCTCTACCCAACCCTAAGTAAAGGATATATGACAGCTAAGCAYGAGCTCAAAACACCTCAAAGACTTTATTCCTAGTGCTGAAAGGACTGAACCACAAATGACAAAACGAAGGGAGAAGGAGCCAACTGAGAACACTCCAGCATCCCAGCAACGCACTAGTTATATTATAGATTTCAATAAATTAATTTCTAAGAATCAGGTTTTGTTTGAGCAAATTGATTTGGCTGGGGTGAGAGTACAACTGCAGGAGCAATTTAGTATTTGATCTTCCTATTTGCAGCRAAAATAAACTAAACACAGTATATTCAATAACAACAAAAATACTGTTGTCYTAAAACTTGCTCAAACAATAGCTGTTCCAGAACAGTCTGTAACAGCTTGATTTTTTTGAGACAGTCACCTTAACTGTGCAGTAGATAATAAAAAAGCTGGTTTTCTTTTGATATTCAAAATGAAAGCTAGAGAATTACCTAAAATCGAGCACGCTGAGAARGAAGGCTCAACTTTATGGCTAACTTAAAGCTCCATGGTATTTATTCTACAYTAAATTAGACCCTCTGTTAGTGTTATTTGACCTGTTTTATAACCACCTCTAGGACAAACTGTTTGACCAGGAGGCAGCAAGCCATGCAACAGGTTGCCCAGAGAGGATGTACAGTCTGCATCCCTGAGGGTTTTCAAGGCCAGACTGAACAAAGCCCTGCTTAGACCTCACAGGTGACCCTGCTTTAGCAACAGGTTGACCAAGAAGCCTCCTGTGGCCCATTCCAGCCTGATGGATTYTGTGATTCTRCGAYRGCAAATACAGACATGAGGAATTTACACACTGRTTCCTAGTGCATCCTGTACTGCAACACTATGACCACCACTATTCACTAAATACTCCAGACATTCTGTGGCACCACAATATTCTCTATCCATCAGTATTTTTTCCAGTATGTAACTCATTGATTTTCTGTTCAAAAGACTCTGAGCCTGCTTCATYCAGCAAAAACAACTTGAAGTGTTAAAAAAGTTTCAAAAATAATCCATAATACATCTYCAACTTACTTGTCTTTGAAGATATCTTGTGCAGTCTTCTCTTCTTTTTTCTTGCCAACTTCCTTTAGGGGGAAAAGTGCTTTCACTCTTTCAAGAGGAGCCTGACACCTTTCTCTCACCACATGAGGCACATCCAGCATTTCTAAAAGGTGCTGCTCAATTGGTGGCAGTGGCTTATCAGGGTGAAAAGCCTTGTGCTGCAAACACTGTGAGAAACAAAACAGTTTGAGCAAATTAAAACTTTCAATTACATTAAAAACTTTTAATATAATGCCTGTACACCTGATACCACATGGTATGTGCAAAATATCTTCCATATTAAACATGCTACCTTTGTATTGCTGAAAAATATTCTGYCTCACAGTGGATTGAAAGTGTACGATCAACTGTTTAAGGAGATTATCAATGATATTAAACAAGAATACTGATATAGATGAGTGTTCCCACTCACCGGAATGAGTTCTAGGAAAATTATTAGAAAAATCCCTGGAATGAAATATTCATCTGCAACAGTTCTTATTTTTAGCTTCACTCCACCTTCAAAAAGCAGTTCTATTATAAAACAGTCACATGGGAGAGGTTTCTATACATTTCAAAATCAGGTAATGAGATCTATCCCAACCACATATTCCAGTTATTGTAACAGTTTAATGTCTCTCAAAGAAACTATTTCTTCTCGGTCAATAAAACTCAGTATGCAGACAGGAGGAATATTCATCAGTTTAAGAGCAAATGGAAAGAGAGAATTCTAAAAGTGCACAGGTGGCACACAGAATATAGGTATGTTTGGAACTCAGCTTTGAAAGGAGTAGGGAATGCAGGGGCCTGATAGATGCACAAAGTTGGAACATGTGGTGAAAGCTATGGAGAGGGATTTTTCATCCTGTGTGTAGAGTCAGTGCACTCAGTCAAGGAGCCAAACAGAGAGGGAGAGATGAGGTTAATGATGAAGGCTACAGAAATTCCATGGAGGGTTTTGATAACAAAGTAAATATCTTTACAATCTTGTGACGTGTGGGATAGCAGTAGAGAGGTATGTGCATTTACAAGTATACAGACAAGATACCAGTGCATGCACACAAACACATCAAAACATGTGATGTACATGGGAGACAAATTTTTTCCACGCCCTCTGTACTGGGTGCATTAGACACCAGTGAAGRTAACGACTCAGTAAACTAGGAATACAGCAGAGATTTGTTCCCCTGTTGGCTGTCAGACATGACATTAATTTTAAAAAGAAAATCARAGCAAATAAAAGCCCCTGTTCATGCTGGAAAGATGCCAATAAAGAAAATCCAGACAATATGTGACACATCAATACTGATGTGTTTTCAGGCTGCCATTAAGATTCCAGTCCATATCAGAACATACTGTCAAAAAGAGGAAGTTGTACAAGGCTAGTGATTTGGAAACACTTGTAATGATTTAAGGCACAATTATTTTGAAAGAGAGTAAAAACATTGCTGGAAGCTGCAGTAGTGGCTGCTATGATATAAAAAAAAAATAGGTAATTGAACACAACTCACAAAGCAAAAACCTGAGTCCCCCCTGTTATGCATGTTTCAGGCTGAATCTTCACATGTGCAGCTGCAGGAGCTGAGCAGACTGAGTGGTCACAGCCTCCACTTGCACCTGTTTTTAAAGTAGATGACTACCTCTGAAACCTGAGATGGCAGGAACTGTCAAAACTCAGGTGCTAAATGGAGACTAAGTTAAACAGACAACTTGGAGTTTCTAAACCAGCACARTTCCTCCTAACCTTACTTCCCCTTCCTTCTGCGTCCAGAAGAACCATTCCTACCTTCACACTCRGTAACCCACACTCGTCACATCTTTCCAGACTCACTGCTCTATTCATGMATGTTGTCACCCATGCACCAGCTCCTCACTGCTCTTCCTAATTTCCTTACTTTTCCACTTTTAGAGCCATAGACAACTTTCAGGAAAAGGGGTCATACCAAGATACTGGTTAAGGGACAYRATTAAKKKG